ATGGTAGAGCAGTGTCATAGAGGAATTCTCGGAGAAAGTATTTACCTGATTCTGTTATATGGAAACAGTTGCCATAATGTTGGCCTTTGGGACATTATGACTTTATGGGGATTTAAAAAATGGGTGCTGATGGAATGTAATTTTTTCTCTTGTTTCATCAGGCGAGCTGATTTCCGTCAAAATTACTAAATTAAGGATAGTTCATTGGTGAAACAAAATCACTGACCGATAAGAGTAAAAAATCATAATCTTCTAAGTAGTTCTACCTAAATCATTACAATAGGGCTTTAATCCCTAAATTATAGGAGTATGAAGCTTTAAATTCTGAATTCTACAAATTAGGGTGAGATGAACTCTGCAGATCACAGGTTTATTTCCTCATTAACATATGAGGTACCAACTATACAGCTGCATTTTCAATCCTTAATGTAATAAAAAACTACTCAACATTTCTTGTACATGTGAACATAACAGTGACACATCTGTTTAAGTTGAAATTTTACATATTTGTTTCTACTTCTAGATCGTAACAATTATAAATATATGTATGAAACACGAAATTGTCAGAACTATATCAATACTGGTTGAATATCTGAAAGTCTTAAAAGGCTGAATTATCCAAAAGTAATATTTATTAGGAAATAATCTTCCTTATAATTATTATAAATTTGCAGTGCAGTATTTAATTTAGTAACTAATATAGTGTAGTTCATGTATAAAATGATTCATAGTTAAGAAATATTTATGAGCTTGAATAAGTTATCATATAAAATATATCAATATTCTTGCTGAAATTTCTCTTTTATATTTCAAAGTTTATGCATGTGTATTGTCCTTTTTTTTTTTTTTTGGCATATTCTTGATTTTCCTTTGATTGTTTTTATGAAAGTTCTTTGTGGAATTATCTCTCATTCCTTTGTATTTATGTGATATTGTCTGACTGTCAATTGTATCGGATTTCCTCCCGAAACTTGAATGTAGTGCCACATTTGCAAGGTTTTAGTTGACTGCTTGTTTCAAGCTCATATAAGTGGCCATGTGTTTATGTTAGCTGCTTTCTCTATTTGATTTCCTGTATTGTGATGGGTAGGTAACTTCCTGCTTCATTTATTTTCTGTGGGATTCTAGCATCCACCTTGGTTGCTATATATTGTCCCGTTGATTTTTCTTATTCATAATTAGATATATTTGCTATACTGTTAACATGAAAGAGATCTACCTTGAATGCTCTTCCCAGGAGTCAGCCACCTCGAATGCACACGACAGTCGTGAACAATTCCTGTCTGATTGGGATTGTTCTTTGCATCTTCCCCTCTGGGTGTCAGAATCTGAGAAAGCTATGATTGAAAAGCGATTAGAAGGTTGGACAAAGGAACTAGAGGCCAGTGGAGCTGATATTGCTTCCCTAGCATTATCTTTAAGAAAACCTCTTAGACCTTTATGGATTTCACAAAGAACTGTTATCTGGTTGAACGAAGTACCTGAGTACGATTCATGGGATTTCACACCCATCATACTCGTCTCGGCATCATCTTCAGATGGCACTTTTCAGCATCGGACCACCTCTGAGTTTAGCTGGAACTATATTGCCGGAGCTGGGGATGATGAGGAAAGTTGGGCTAGAGGTTTATCGCCCCATCTTTTCTGGAAGCATGCATATGATATTATAAGCTCAGGTCCTGAGTTGTGTAATCAAAAGACTGCGAATATTGTGGAAAAGGACCGAGTTAGCCGTGCACGAAGAGGAGAAAATGCTCCACAGGTGTCTGTTAAGCCTTCAAAAATCCCGGGAAACACAATTTCGTATCAATTTGGAGACCCGTTAGTGTTTGATGATGAATTTGTCGCTGAAGGCGATAAGAGAAGTGATGATTGCTGCATGTACTTTTTGGGGTCAACTGGTATTGCAGTCGGCAAATCTCGACTTGGTATTGCATTTATTATATATTGCATTAGCAAAATGCTTGAACTCTTTTCTCATGCTTTACATTTACTTTCAATACCAAAGTGGGAGAACTCACTGGTTTGCAGAGTTTCCTTTTGTATTTGGCTATTGTTACGGAGCCCATGTGTCTCTGCAGTTTATGCTTGTGAAAATATATGAATAAAATTCAGAAAGTGGAGGTACACTATAGCATTCCAGGCATACCACATGCTATGATAATGTTTTCTTAATTATTTCTTTTTATTGTGCAAACTAGAATGTCTGTGTACATATGTAACCTTGTGCAGTGAACTCTTTTTTTACAGCCATAGAAACCCCCCCTGCCTTCTGCATATTAAATTGTGATAGGGAGTCGTTGCCTGTCTCACTGGAAAACCTCGAAATGTACATGCATCTACCAATTGTGGTATGTATGACATATTGTTAATCTTTTCTACTCACATATGCACACATACTCATCTTGAGCTGGACTGAATGTTGAGTGCATATGTAGTCTCTTGTCGTGTTTACTTTATCATCTAACTTTTGAGCAGGATTCCAAAATCGACCGTTTTTCTTTGCTAAGGAATCTCCCTTCTGCTATTAACTTTGCTAAATCGCAGTTGCAAAAAAGAAAGACTCTTCTGATTTGCTGCAGTAATGGTAAGCATTCCCCTTATTGACATACTGTTATGAAACGTCACGGATTTTTCTTGGTATATATATGCTTTTTTTGTTTTTTCTAGGAGAAGATATAAGCATTTGCGTTAGTTTGGCAATTCTGACGTCACTTTATGATGAAGCAGGTGAGAAACTGGATTATAATGTCTGTGGCAGTATATGCATTCTTAGTTTCTGAAAGTATTTCAGTCGAGTGCTACCTAATTTTTTCAATCGACAGGACACTTTGATGAGGGAAGATCCTTCAATGAGACACAAATCACCAAGATGGAGTTGCGTAGACGTCTAGTTTTTATATGTAAATATGTTGTTAATGCACGGCCATCGAGGGGGAACATAAAACAAGTGTTTGCTTTCCTTAGTGGAGGATGTAATAAACCCTTTGCATGATGGTTTATGATATCTAAGATCGTCTCCCATGATTCGTGGAACAGAAAATCCGCCTATGCGTACCCCATGCTAACCTATTACAGAGCAAATTCGTTAACTGGTTGGCCATATTAGCATTGTGCTTCTTGTAAAGATGCTTGTCAGGGTCTAGTTCTCCCTTTTTCAAGCACTTATATGTAGCTGGTAGACTATTTGATTTCAGGTAATGTTCCAATTGAAACATTCATTTGGTTTTAAGGCCCCTATCCCGATTCAACTAGTTTGGTGTGCTCATTCTTTATACTTCTTTCGATTGGAAAATGAATTCCTTTCCCCGAGAAGTGGATGCATTAGCAAATCCAGCGACTGAAAGGAAAAATGGCAGCCGAAGCTGTATACGCAGTCACGAAGATTGTGAGATATTGAATTCGCATATTATTGAGATTTGAGAAGGCTAAAGGTAAAATAAGTGTATCAAGTACAAGAATAGCATACCAAAGGTGAGATATTACCCAGTCTAACACTCTTATAGCGGGTTGAGAGGTACCATTTCAACTACAAGCTTGTAGTATACTTTTAAATAAGTTAATCTTGTGTTAAATTTTCTCAGTGAGTCAGGTGAATGATGTGCACTCAACTAGTGGGGGCAACCCTTTAATTTCTTTCGGTCATTCAACTTGTTTGTCACACTTCAGATAATATTTGCAGCCGATCTGAATTAGGGTCAACCAATCTGTACTCGTGCTTCCGTGGAACTTATGTAAGACCACATGCACTTCATTTAAAAATAACATCGGCATGGCACCTTACTGACCGTCAGGATCAAATTGGCACCTACCTCCTATAGTTAAAACTTCCTTTGTGCCGATATCATCCTATACAAAGCTTTCTTCATGCCGATCTCACCATTTAGTGTGAAGGAGGGTCCAGTGTGAATGAGGTTGCTGCTCATCGAGTTCGCCGAGCCTACTACACGTACATGTATGCATGATTGCTTGTGGTAGTCACATAACGTTCTTTCCTAGCTGTCGAGTGCTGCCTCTGAGCCCGTCGACCAACGTCTGCACGCCTCGACCAACCTGCAACATGGGCTATCAAGCGACCGTCGCAGTAGTGCACATAGTGTTCATTACCAGTCACACATGCCTGTGCTAATGGCCATGCCCAAATTCCTGTCGTTCGCCACCAGGCTGTAGCGTCTGCCAGCCACACGTGTCCGACTGCTAGCTTGCCCGCGTCAGCGCACAACCCCTAGAAGGCATGCGTTGAGCAATGAACACCAGCGAGCAGCGTGGAGCGACAAGTTGCTAGCCTATCAACGTTCAGCTCATCTGGGCTCACCGCTCTCGATTGTCATCGAGTTCGTCTGCCTTAATCGAAAAAATTAAAAATAAAAAATCGATCCTACGACCCACGCAGGGGTATGTATGTCTGTCTAGATTAAACTAGTAAATCTATATAACAGTCTTGTTGTATTTTATTCATTGTAAGCATCAACTAACCCAAAAAATGATCCTCGACAGGTCTAAGGCTTTAAAAACCATGCATAATTGACAGTTTTGCTATGGAGCCATCAGATGTCTCGACTTATAGAGTCATCCACACTTATTCACCAATATTGTATTGACATGTGTCCCACATATTTGAGCCATAATAGTTGGAAGACATAATCCTCCAAGACCGAGTTAAGCATATATGTACTATTCGTTACACCCATACATGAATAAATCAAGCATGATTTTAATTAGAACAATACACAAAAACCGAATTATCTATGACTTTGGTACCAATTGTTTGATTCGGTTGAGAACGACGGTTATGAGTAATTTTTATTATCTACCAAAAATAAGCCTAAACACAATAGATCTAGAGTTTAGGATTAGATACCCACGGTTTAAAATTTGCCGACTCAGAGACATCCACGATCAATGGGACTGAGATAATAGGCGTGTGTGACCTTGAGATATTTTTATATAACACCAGTTCCAAACATCTTGGCAGGAGACAACTGTGGAAATGTTCATCTGTATTGGAACTTTTTCCACTAGATCTATGTTACTATGAACTTGTAATATAAAGTACATAGTTTCTTGGGTTAATCCGGTTATAGCCTTTATATAGTATGGGTTAAGAAACCTTTCAATGTTAGTTTGGCTACTTTGGAATAAGAAAAATCCTACATTGTCAATCTAGTGTACAACTAGGTTGACAACACAAGTGTAAACATCCACTTGTGTATTTTTTTTTTTTTT